AGATGAAATAAAAACATAAAATAATAATTAAAAAAAATCATATTAAAACATTGTTCACAATAATCTTTGACTTGTTAGATAATGAGCGAAATTTCACAAGTGTTCTCAAGAGAAACGAATGGAGGCAGTTGGTCACAGAAATTTCAGCTGGTCACCCTTAAAAGGAAAAAAAATACGAACGTAGTTATAAATACAATAATGACTCATAAAGTAGGAAACTATCTAAGGAAAAGAAAGCATTTGACTTCAGCCTATTAATCAAGGGAAAAAAGGTGATTCTCAATTAGAATCTGCCCTCTAGATGCCAAGAATCATGGCTTGTTAACCCCAAAACATAAGGAAACAAATAAAGGCATCCAGACAAGAATGCATGTTATATGTTTTGGCCAGAAAAAAGAACACGTTATGTGATTTCTGACAATCAGTTACTAATACTTGCAAAATAACTTTCCCCCACATGCTCATGCTTTGTGATATAATTTAGGTATTATTATCTGTACTAATATTCTCCTTTTGACATTCAGTGCTACTTGAAGGTTAACAAAGAACAATTAAATTGATAACCCAAACATGAAATTTTGTTTTTCTTTTTCTCTTAGAGGTCCAGGAGGTGTGATTTATAACTGAAGGGGGTGGGAAAGCATATCAAACCAATCATTACCTGCTGCATTGATATGAACCTCTTATTTTGCAAATCTTTTTTGGACACTTGATGAAGTAGAGTGGTCCATGATGCGTATGTATTTTATATTATTCCTTTGCCATCAGTTATGTGGGTAAGAGGGCCTGATGAAATTGTAGAATGTCCGTCATTCTTTTACCAGTCAAGAAAACCCGGATTGGAATTTTTCTCATTTTTGTTGATCAGGCATATGCAAAGAATGAAATATGAGGGATGAGGCAGCCACTAGTCAAACTGCCCAGTCCCAAGATTCTAGGAAAATATGATGACAATAAATTACAATTGAAACATTGATTCAAGACTCTAAGGAATAGGAAGTGAAAATCAAGAAAATAAATGATGAGATCAGAACAAGATTAAACTCTAATGCTGTGGGCGGTCACCCACGATCTAGTTCATGCTTCTGTTAAGCTAGTTTCTTCTCTGTTTACAGCTCGTGGACCTGGGAGATGCAAGATAAACAATGGAGGTTGTTGGCATGAAGCCCGGAATGGACATGCATTTTCTGCTTGTGTGGTTAGTAACTTTTAAGTTTCTGGACCAAAATCTACTTAGATTCCATTGACTTCATGAAATTCATAATGGTCAAATTCTTATTTTGTGGACCCATGATGGAAACTACTGAATAATTACATGAGCTATTGTCGCTTTGCAACAGGATAATGGAGAAGTTAAATGCCAATGTCCTGCAGGGTTTAAAGGTGACGGTGTCAAAAATTGTGAAGGTGAGAGATGCTGATATGTGTTACAGATCAAATTCTTCCAATAAATTTTGGTATTCAGAAAATGTAGGAAAATTGAGCATGATATGAATAGATTCCGAGATCTTGTTTGAAGTGCAATGGGATAATCCTCAAGTGAATTCTATGGACACAGTTTTGTACTTCTTTTATTTTTTGGCCATTTATACTGGACATTGATCACCTGGGTTTAAATTGCATTACTCCCTATTCTCTTGATAGTACATAGACTCCCCTCTGTTAAATTTGCTTTGTTTTGGTTAGATTTGATGCGATCATGCTGAACCCAATCAATTGACACAAGGATAATGGAAGTCGGTTAACGTGAACCATATTTCAGCATTGTGTCAGTATGCAATGCAGGCTTCTTCATAAAGTGTTCTTCAATAAACTATAATTTGAAACTTGACAACTTTGTCAACTATATCTTTTTGTACCACAAGTGAAGTGATTATAGATAGTCTGTTTTTTGGGTTTGGACTAGTATTTAGACCTGGTTGCATTGCTATTGATTAATGAGAAATGTGACTTGAGGACCTACGGAGTTATTTGTAGCTAACTATAAAGTTGAATGGTTGAAGTTGAACTCTCTCTCTTCCTTCCTCACAGACATCGATGAATGCAAAGAGAAGAAAGCTTGTCAGTGCCCTGAATGTAGCTGCAAGAATACTTGGGGCAGCTATGAATGTACTTGTAGGGGGGATCTTCTGTACATCCGGGACCATGATACCTGCATAAGTGAGTCCATGGAACTTAACATATTTACACATTCATTTGAGTAGGCTTTGTTTTTACATTCCCTGCTGGATAATCTGCAGGTAAAACAGCTAGTCAGGGGAGATCTGGTTGGGCTGCATTTTGGGTCATTGTGATCGGCTTGGCTATGGCTGCTGGTGGGGCATATCTGGTTTACAAATATAGAATAAGGGTAAGCTTTTGCATTTCCTTTGTTTAGTGATGTTATTAAATAGTCTATTTCTTGCTAAAACTCTACTGCATAGTGGGCTGTTCTTGGAGAACGGACTCTGGAACTTAGGGTAAAAAAATCTGAAATTTGCACAGTTTGGTCTCACTCCCACAGAATGTTAAACATACAATTATATTTCAACTACGAAGTTAATCGTTGTTTTAGTATTTGCACATTAAAATTTGAGTGCGAAATACCATAAACTGGTTAAGTAACCGAACAAACTGCATAAATATTAAACAAGCAAGAATTTGAATCATGGGAAGACACTTACGTCATTTTATAGCCAACAAAGGGGGATCAAACAGTAATTTAACCTTTTATTATGCTTTTTTGGCTTCTGTAGAAAGTGGCATTTCCTCCATTTATAACTTGATCATATGTTTGACTATGCGTAAATCTGATGGTATAATGGTGGATTTTGCAGTCATACATGGATTCTGAAATCAGAGCGATCATGGCACAGTATATGCCCTTGGACAGCCAAGGGGAAGTTCAGAGTCATGTCAATGATGAGAGAGCATGAAGAATAAAACAGCTGATCTTTCTCTCTTGAGATCTCATTTCATGACACGCAGCATACATGAAATGTATCTTTTTCTTCTGCTTTTTCTGGGCCTTCAACAGTCTCAGGATTGAATTTGTTGACTGTATCATATGCTCAATAAAGATTACGATGAGAAAAGTTGTCCTACGATATTAGTTTTTGGTTTTTCATTAGTGATTTAGGATTTTAGTATAGGCTTAAAGTTGATGTTCAGACGATGTATATTGATTTGTGGGGTGACTTGTGTAGGGGTAATTTGCAGATCCATATCACATGAGCACAATGTGTATTCTGCAGCTACAAAAGAATTTCATCCATACATTATATGTGCCGTTAAAAAATAAATCTACTGAAACTGCTCAAAGCTCCTCCTCCTCGTGAGTGTGGATTTTTAACAATTGAAAATTAACAATATTATTGACCTTAAATCATAAGTTAAAATGATATAATGGCTATTTCTTTTATTTTGCTATCTTAATTTTATACCATTTTAATCACAATAATTTTGTCAAATATAAACTTCCTTTCATTATCTCGATAAGGTCATCCAATCATAAATTATTCAACTCCAACAATCATGGGTGTGTTTGGATGGATAGTAACAAAATTGACTTTTATTCTATCTAATTTTTATAAAAGTCAGTTAAAGTAAAAGCTAGTTTTTTTTTGGCCAGCAAAAGTAAAAGCTAGTTAATGTAATATGATTTATGTTTAGATTGATGTTTCTAAAAAGTCAGTTTAAAAAGTTAAAATTTGTTTGGATGGATAATAAAAAGATAAGTTTAAATGTAAAATGATATAAAAGAACATGAGTTTTATAAAATACTACCTTTGGTTCTCAATATAAGATTTAGTTAACTAATTTGAAAAGACTAATAAAATTAAATAAATTATTTTAAAATGTTTATATTTATCGTTTTTCTTCAAATTAATTTATTTGATTTATAAACTAATATGTAATCTCGATATCTTAATCATGTAAATCCTATTGCTTATATATCGCCTGACTTTGTATAGTTTACTTTGCAATGAGAATTATCCATTTCATTCAAAATATGTAATCTAAATATCTAATGATATTATAAGTATTTTAAAGATATCATGTCACGTACGATATAATTATGTGATTTATTTAGTTTCTTTAATCTATTCAAATTAGTCTTTTGGGGTCTTATTTTAAAGAGCAAAGGTAATATATGATATGTATATAAGTTGATAAATTTTAGAAAAATAATAATTTAAATTAATGAAATTTTATTAGTTAATTTTTTCATCTTAGAAAAAAAATCAAATTATTAGATTAAGATAGGACCTATTTAAATATTCTTATCTTTTTTTTTCCATCTTAATTCCTTCTCACCCCATGTTATAAACACCAAAAGCTAAGAATCCTAGTTTTCCACCGCAATGAATCTTTTCCAAAAATTGGTTAGACTTTAATGAGCCAATAACTTCAAATCATCCACAAACGTGAGTTTCACACTTTCCTAAGCACTTTTTTCAGTCCAAACGGTAATCCAAACGCCTCCTAAATCTGGCCCAAGAAAAAACTTTAACAATCAAAATTGAATTCTCCAACTGCCAAGGCCCGAGTTTACCAGCCCAGGTGGCTTGTATTTGTATGGATAATGGATGTGAGTATATGTGAATATGAGCCACCAGAAAAATTGCTTGAGCTTTGTACCCAAAAAAAAAAAAATTGCTTGAGCTCCTTTCAAATCTTCATGACTCTGTTTCCAAACCCACTTCTCTATGGGAATTACATCATCTCTATTTTAATTCACATGCATTTTGTTAGCATGCCAATATATTATACATAAATAATTCAATTCACTGATGTCTCATCTAAGTATAATTTAAAAATTTTAACAAACCTAACTATTCTTGAATCATAAATAATATGACTTATTTCTTAGATTTTATGCAATGCACAGATTCACAGAACCCCTCCTAGTTATCCAATAAAACAAAAAAAAAAATGCAAATGTATGCAGCAAAAACATAAGATGATATCCTTTGGGAAAAGTTAAAAACGATGTATCCTGTTGTTGCTGCCGCCTTTTCTTATGCCTGTTTAGTTGGAGTGAAATTGAGGTCTAGTCCAATATTCAATCCATTGTTAACAATCGGAGCGTACATCCATAGATCATCAGAGCTAAGAAGCTGTTAATTTGATATCAAAATATGAGAGAGAGAAGGATTAAGCTGATAATCATCTTTCTAAAACTAAGGTTTCAGATGATGAAGTTACTTAGATTGTTACCTTAATTTGTAGCTGTAAAAATTTCACATATTGAGCAGCTTCCTCAAGCATAGTGCTTATATCCACCTGCATATTTTCCAAGTTCATCTAGCTTCAGAATTTAATCATCTAGTCTGAATTCAATTTATAAACTGATAAAGAGATTATAACGATTATGGGTAGACACACAAATATTTCGCATAATTTAAGGCATGTTTTTGTCTCATCCGCTTAAAATTACCTTCGTTCCATTAGGGACAAGGTTTTGTAAGATTCTCAACCTTTCATTTATTCTCCCTCTTCTTCTCTGCATAATGTAGAAGGTAAGTGTTAGATATTAACCTTCAAGTATGATAACAAGATTATTAAAGACGGATAATTTTTACCAAGGCTTGACAACTGAATCTACATAATAAGCTAAGCTAAGTAATGAATTGCAGGAGACTTACTCTTGCATAGAGGCTCTGGGGATCAGTGGCAGGACCTTTGTCAGATCTTGATTTGCTGTTTGAGTTAAGATCTTTATTGTTTTTAGGGTCTGTGTCATCCTCCTGAGAAGCAGTGGAATCATCCTCTGATGAGCAGAAGCTGCTAGAGTTGTGCCCATGAAGGCCACCATTGCTTCTATTCTCTTCCTTGTTGCTTTTAAAAGACTCTGGATTCCTCCTTGGTTTAACATTCCTCTTGTTCTTCTGTATCCACAAAACCAAATCATCATGGGCATCTCATAAATTCAAAGGACTAAATCAACCTGTTCGTTCCTAAAGAAAATGCACACTGATCTGAAAAAATAGCGGTATACCTCAAATGAGCTCCTTGATCTCTTTCCAGAGTTCTGCAGGTTGCTGGTTTTACCATCCTCCTGTGCTGGTTCAGAAACTTGTACTTCACGGGACATTGATATGGAACCAAAATTATTGGTAGCATCAGCAACATTTGAAGGAAAATAGAAGCTGTCACCAGTGAAGCCTGTAGGCCAAAATGCAGAAGAAGATTGAAATCCCAAGTTGGCATTTCCATAGAGATCCTCTGGGACTGAACAGTTTTCAAGAAACTGGGTCATAAACTCAGCTTCCTGAGCAGTGTAAACCCCACTAAGGTAGCTCCATTCTTGAGAGATTATCTCACTAGGCTCCATTATTTTTCTCTGTAAGCATTTCAGAGAGAAGGGTCCCTTATTTTTTTGTGTTTGAATGCTTGAAAGGAGGAATAAGATGAGTACTCTTTATTTATACCCTAAGAAGGGGTGGCGTTGAGTCATATAAAAGAATATATGTGGACTTGGAATTGCCAAAAATTGGATCGGACAAAGTCATAATTCCTTCATGAATTGACTTTGCACAAGTCTTTGAAAGAGAGCAGTTATATCATCTGAGAAGGACTGGACCCACTTCATGTACATGTACTTGTTGTGCATTATAATATTCTGCTAAAAGATTCCCCTCCAAAAATGTTAAGGGGGTATATCCTCGATGTCATGCATTATATGAAATCTGAGAAATAAGTCGCAGTATTCATAACTTACAAATAATACAGCTTGTTAATTAGAGTTATTAGAATTCTTATATTATATATAGACATATAAATAGATTCTCTTGAGTTATGCATGCATCTAATTTTTAACTTGCAACCTCTGGATTAAATATAGCTAAAACCAGACACTAGCATCTTCTGTCTGGATTCTTGTCCCCTCCATAACTATGTTAAACTGTAACCTAGCTCTTTGTTTTCTCCTCTACAATCCCAGATTTCAACACTTGTAACCAGATATATTATGCTTGTTTTACAAGTTAGTTGGATTATGAATTAGTTTCAATGTATTTGTCCATTCTTTTATGTTAATATGCTGTTATTGCTAAATTGCAGTAGGAAGGACCCGTGCAATTACAATTTTGCATACAGTTCGAACCAAGCGTTGGACTATTCAGACCTGTGTACAACACATGAAATTTTATCTTCTGTTTTAAAACTGGTGGCTTGCCAATGTTAAAATAAGCCAGTTAGACAAACTTGGTCTGTGTTTCTGTGAACAACTGCTTGCAAATTTTATATTGCATACTACTTCCTCTAGTCCTTTTGGTAAACTCCAATTAACTGCTTTAGGTAAATTAAGAAAATTAAAGAAAGTTAGTTAAAATTAGTTATTTCTTATAAAATCTAAAGACTGTCCTGGATAAAATTTATTAGTTAGAGGAGTTTGATTAATGACGCAAAATAACAGAATACTAAGAAAGTGAACTCTGATAACATACATCCGCTTTCTTGTAAGTAGATTTTCATTTCAACATCGGAGGAACAGAAGAAAATGGTAGCATGTTTGTTGTTTATCCTTTTTGTCTATGACAATCAAAGAACAGCTTTTGATCAGAGGGAATCAAATCTTAGCGTTTTTTAAAGTAATTAAGAAACCCCATTAAATAACAATCTGATTTTGTCACTCTCGCATGCGACCCGCTGATGATTGTTCATAAATTTTATAAGTATAGTTCAAGACCGGAAAAAAAAAATATATTATGCCAATTCTTTCTGGGGTTTACACGGAAAAATAGAGAGATATTCAACTGATTGTTTATTTTATTTTATTTTATTTTAAGACACACAGCATTAACGCACGACTGCTAAAAGTATATTTGTAGAATATCAATGTGTGTTGGCCAAAAAGGTAGAATATCAAGAAATTAGCTGGCGTTTGATTTTTTTAATTTGCCACCATTTTCTAATTTTTCAGAGTCAGTTATATTTAAAATGTTGGAATTGTTGGAAAAGGATTTGTTCGGGGAGGTAAAACCCATTTCAATGATTTCTACACCTTAAAAGGATTAATATCTCGTTATTGGTTAGAGATACCACCTGATTTCTACAAAAAAAAAAAATGTTGGAATTGTTTAAATGTGGGCTAGAGACAGGCGAACACGCACATTACATGTTAATTAAGTGGTAATCTCGTAATGAAATAATTATTAACTCTTGATTTTTTTTTTTGGAGAGAGACTGATGCGGACAAATGAAAGGAGTATTACTTAAAAAGGGGAAAGTCAATTATGATATTAATAGCACATAAATTAAAGAAAGCCGTGGGAGTGGAAAATCCTGATTAACCCAAGCACAGACGTGTGCGGTCCACTGTTTATAAAAACCAACTCCTCGGACTAATACCTTCTATTTTAATCAATTAAAGCAATTTTGTTTACAAGACCTCTATTTATGGTACTTTTATTGGTTATTACTTATATAGTATTCCATTCGATTCCAAATATAATATGAGTAGTTTATTTTAGTTCCATATATAAAACCTCAATCAACTATTTATTTAATAACTTTATAATTTTTTTAAATTATTCTTATTAATTACATATATTAAGAGAACTTATATTAAAAGGATTACTTTTGAATACAAATAATTAAAATTTATAGTTTAAATAAAGTAATATATAATTTTATAAATAATTAAATTAACTAATTTTTTAATTTATACAAATTAGTCAGTAACTATTATATTAACTGGAACTATATAATATTTGCCTTTGAGTTGTAGACTTTACACTTCGATGTTGATATTTTATAGACAGGGATATTATTCCCATCATAGGTGGGATGCAACACTGATGTTAATCCTTAAACAACATTAGACTGTTCTTATTTAGAACCAGTTTGAAACAGCTTATAAGTAACTTTTCAATAGTAATTTATGAAATACGAGGCAAATATATGAGAAGAGTTTTGTCTCGACTTACATGAAACGTATTTATAGAAGATTTCTACCGCTATCCCAAACAGGCACTAATTGTTAATCCCTAAACATTGCTTTTCTCCACATTTTCTTTGCACACCATTATACCGCACTTTATGAAAACGTCATGCTAATTAAGGTGATCAATTCATTAACCAATGGTACCGATAAAAGGATTTGACTTTAGAAGCTCCAAAATGCTAATTAAAACCTACTACTCCTATAATATAAGGCTTGACTTTTGATCTATCAGCAAAGTAATATGAGGAGTACTATTTCAACTTATTATAAAACCCTTTGGCCGAAAGGAAAAATACTTATTATAAAATCCACACGTCAAACAAGGTTCAGTTCAAAGGATTGAACTTGGACATGGGGTTTAAATCTAATGATCTTCTTTTGTTATCGTATCTCTTTCAGATTGACTTTCAAGACGTTAAATATAAAGAATTTCATTACCCCCATGAATAGTCAACTAACGGTAGTATTCCTTAAATGTTTATGCGTGTGTATATAAATATATTATGTATTGTATACTTACATATACTAATTATGCCCAGTTTAGCGCGAAGTACTTTGAACTTTACTCAAGTGCTCATTAATGTTATATTAACAGTTCAATTTTTTCTCCTTAATTATAACTCTGACTTCTTGAGTTTAGCAGCAGCTAGCCATGGAGTTTTGAGTTTTCACGTGCTTTTTGACAACTTTAAAATATAAAATGATTCTGCAATTATAAATCATAAAATTGACTTCGAACTACAGGAAAAAAAAATAAAAAACACATGTTTTCAGTGGTGGAACCAGGACCCACGGGGTGCAATGTAATGTAAAAATAATATTTTATTATTTCAAAAAGTTATTATTTTTAAATCACCTATTTCATAATATTTTCAATTTTTGAATTAAAAATATGCATTTCAATTGTCCTCTATGTAATTTTTTTTAGTTTAGAATATCTATAAATAAAAGTATGCAATTTTAATCTGTTTTCCATATTAAAGGTAGGTTACAATATCAAGACTAGAGGGGGCAAAATATCAAATTTACCTACCGTAGATGTAATTTCACCAAGTCTACAGGATAAATCACATAATTTACGAATGGTACAGTTTGCTATTTTATATTGATGATTAATATTGATTTCCGATTATTCAACTTACTGATGCTTCTTCCAGAGTATCGTCATTCTCCTAAAATATCTCGCTTCACTGAAAGAAAGAAAGGAAAAGGACAGATTTTATCAAAGATGGGCTTAGGACTGAGAGCACAGAGACTTTCATGCATTTGATTTGAATGAACAAATTACAGATAATTCTGTCAAAGGTATTAATGTGGGAATTATAGTTGAAGTGGTCTGGGCAAATCGGTGGTGCAAGTTTACAGATTCAATATAATTACAGAGTAAGCCAGTACAGAAAACATATGTAAACCCCATTTCCAATTCCACTTCAAACGAACTGAGGGCAAAGAACAAAGATGCCTATGAAGGAATTTTATGGAACACATTACTGTCATCAGCATTCAAATGAAACTTATCTTCCATGTACTTGTATGTTTTTTACTGAAACAGCAACTGGTCCGAATAATGGTGCCAAACAGACAACCAGCGAGAGCACCGGGAGCCAGCGATACTGAAACTTAACATGCCTTTAGAATTTCTGAGCGTTAAACCGTTACTCATCATTAGGAAGCTCTTCACCAGGACCTCGTTGCACTAGTCTGTAATACAATATACCCATAGTTGCCATACATGCCCTGCAAATAGTCATAAAAAATTCATCATTACAACTTACAAGAGCTGTGTATCTGAGTTTTGAATTGGGGTCCTCTAAATTTATTAAAGTTATCAATTCCAAGTTCAAAGAAATATGGAGATAATACGAGATCTAGCACCTTGTGCTACAATAGCATTCATGTTCTTCTAAGAGCAAGAAGAGAATGGTCCATGAAATCATGTTGAGAAATATAGATGTAAGAATTATTCGACATGAATTCAGCCTTCAAGCTGTTTTGGTCCTCATCAACCTTGGAATACATGCGACTTGCAGCAATTAAATGGCAGCTCACTAACCTCACTCACTACCTTCTTCTTTCCTTTGGTCTTAAATGTAAGACCCATTTTGTAGTGTAAATTACATTACAAAATGGATTTTACATTTAGGACTAGAAGAGTACTAAATTATCCACCATTAGTCATTTTATAAGTGATGCTGAAGTAACTCTGAATTTGCAGAAATCTCAGAGCCTGTTTTTCATCTTTTCAGTTTCTCCAAGACATAGTTTGGTAGGAAAGAAAATGTAGAGGATAAGAAGAGATTTACATAATTGCAATCATGAGAAGGATTTTTCTTGGGTCCATCCTTGACGATTTTTGATGCCGTGTACGGCCTTCTGAGGTTTCATTT